CTTGTAATGCTTGTTACTCACTTACCATTTGTTCTAGGGCACCCTGATGCCTCAGTGAGCTTCTAGCCCACAGCTGGTCTAACCAGGGATCTCTGGACAATGGTAACCACATTTTGATATTGGCAGGAATGGACCAAGGCTTGGGGCTTCATCCTCTCAACTTAGAGGATCAAATAAATTTCAGACATATATATCAACATTACACCATGTGCAAGGCCATGTGAGGACAGGGTGGTTGTTGGGAGTGAGGCGCAGCGTTGCAGATCAGCAGATATCAGAGTGCAACAGACCGTACTTCCCCAAAACGGCCACAGCAACATATCCAGTCCCATGTATATTTAAAACTTTATCCCTCCCCAGTCAAGAGGTGAAGTTGGCTTCCTCTTTCCTTGAATTGGGCGTGAATTTGTAACTGCATCGATAAACAGAATATAGTGGAAGTGATGGTCCATGACTTTTAGGTTAGGCCATAAAGGAGGACACCACTTGGGCCTCTATCTTTTTATCTTGGGCTGCTCACACTTGACGCTCAGTCACCATGTTGTGAGGCAGCCCAGGCCGCATGAAGAGGCCACATATAGGTGATCCAGTCAACAGCCTCAGGTAGGGTCCCAGCCCACAGCTGACATCAACTGCCAAACACGAGAGAAAAGTAGCATTCAGTGTGCTCCAGCCCCAGTCTTTGAGTGTCCTAGCTGAGATCCCAGACATTGTGTAGCAGAAGAGAAAAAGCCTCCCACTTTGTCCTGTTTGAATTTGTGAACCCACAGAATTTGTGAATATAATAAGTAACGGTTTTATGTCACTAAGTTTTGAGGAAATTTTTACTAAGTCGCAGTATCTGGAACACAGAACTCACAGTGAAGTGGAGAACAAGTTACAAACTCTATGGCAAGGGACGCGCTTCAAAGAGAAGGTGATACAGAGCATGCATTTTCTTTTTTTCTTATTTTGAGATGGAGTTTTGTTCTTGTTGCCCATGTTGGATTGCAATGGTGCAATCTTGGCTCACCACAACCTCTGCCTCCTGGGTTAAAGCAATTCTCCTGCCTTAGCCTCCCAAGTAGCTGGGATTAGAGGCATGTGCCACCATGCACAGCTAATTTTGTATTTTTAATAGAGACAGGGTTTCTCCATATTGGTCAGGCTGGTCTCGAACTCCTCACCTCAGGTGATCTGCCCACCTCAGTTCCCAAAGTTCTGGGATTACAGGCATGAGCCACCAGGCCCAGCCATAGAGCATGCATTTTCAACAGGATAATGTCACCTTCCATAAGGGAGAAAAATTTGTTCTTAGGGGATTGAAAAAAATCTTTTAAAAAATAAAGCACAGATATACATAGAGGTGGGAGAACATGTTTCTAATTAATAGTCTGATGTGTTTAGGGAGCTAGAAGCCATGGGTTAGAAGATCAGACTGAAAACACAAACCAATGGCAGAGTGTGGAGTACTTTGAGTTCAAGTAGAAAGAGTTCATTCCTTCATTTTTTCATTTAAAAAAAAATAATATACACATAGAACAGCAGGAGTGTTAATATAAAAATTTAAAAAATATGCCCATTGATTAAGCACCTCCTATGTGTCAGGACTGTTGGATAAAAAAGTGAGTGTGACAATCAGATTTAATGTGTCACATAACAAAATATAATCAGGTCATTTCAGTGCAATTCACATTCCCAGTGTAGAAGAGGAATATGGAGGGAAGGCTTTTCATACGAGGTGACATTTGAGCTGGGCTTTAATGTATGGGGATGCAATAGTTGGTGGAAGTGAGAGAGGGACTTCAAGGCACAGGAAATATTTCAGCGTGTGGCATGTGCAGATCACAGCAAGCAGTGTGCTGTGTCTGTGTGGGGAGCCTGCTGGAGATAGAACTGGAAAAGCTGGTCAGGACCTGGGGGCATCAGTCTCTTCACTGTCTCCCTCCCAGACTCAGGAATGGGACCCCCAGGACCTACACATAACCTCATTGATCTACTCCATGGCCACTCAGCCTGGTGTCAGAATGCAAAAATTACTAGGTGGCTAGCTAACAGTGGGAGCTCTGAACAAGCTCTGCAGAGAGTCACCCTATTGGCCCAGGGTCTCTCATGGGCTGAGCACTGGGCACAGCCAGAGTAAAGGATGACAGTCAGAGCTGCCAAAGGCCACTGCCCCTAGCTGTCTCGCTGTTCCCACAGTGTGACACAGTCCAGGACACCTGGTGATAATTTAGCTCTAGATCCAGGGCTGTCCCAGTGATGAGGAATTTTCACAGACTATTGTGGGGCCATATGCAATGCGTTCACCTCTGCGTTTAGAATTAGAAAACACAAGTGCATGTTCCAGCACTGCCATTTAATCTGCGTGTGACTTTGGGTGGGTCATGTGATGCCTCTGGGCTTTCACAATTCAAATGAGGAAAATCCTTTCTCACCCATAATGTGTCATTGACTAAGAGGAGGTAGATGATGGTTCGTGGAGTCTCAACTGCTTGGCAACTTTCTACTCAGTATAGCCCATGCCGTATTAGCCCATACTCTAATCTGCCTTAGTGATGCTATAGCCGCTGATCTGTGAACCACACTTTGAGCAAGCAAGACTCTAGCGTACCACTGAGGGAAGGAGTCATTACCTGGACCAAAGAGGAAGGAGGGATCACTGCCCTGGCTCTCCACACTGCCCTGGGGCTCCGCAGCAGGCAGAGGCAGCTGCTCTCCTTCCCTTTCCATGATGGAGGCCCAGAAGTCAGGCCTCCAAGAACCCCTTGTCTCTTCAGGCCTCCAAGAAGCCCTTGTCAAGAAAAAAGTAAGGGAAACTCACAAAAGTTTCCCCTTCCTGGTTTGTCCCTTTCATACTCCAGCCAGGATGCCTAGGAGGAAGAATAGAGCAGTGGCTCTGGGCTCAGAGAGTCAGGTGTTCTGCAGTGAGTCATCCTAAAAGCACAGAGACTCAGTGCATCGTGCCTGTCACATCAACTTGAAAAATGGCTCTTCCAATATGAATACAGATGTTTCTAACTAATAATGTTCTCCAAGTGAAATAATACCAAGGTACACCTACAGAATACCTCAGCCTCACCACCTGAGACCCTGATACTGGCAGGTGTGTAAACCACACATGGAGGCCAAGTCGCAATCCCTCATACATTCCTTCCACAGGAAGGAACTATGTGCCAAGCACTGTGTTGGGGGCAGGGCAGGCCAAGGTATGGTTCTGGTTTCAGTAGTTTGTTGTCTAGCAAAAAAGACAGACACAGAGACAGATCATTACAATATGCTCATAGCAATCGTGAGGTTCTTTCAAAGTGCCATGGGAGCCCCAAGGGAGAGCTTGAAACCCAGGGTCAAGAAGGTGTCAGGAAATGGTGATATTGGGTGACTTTTGAAAGATAACTTGGAATTTCCCAAACAGAGAAGGGGACAGATTTCTTCCAGGATAAAGGAGAAGTAAAAGCCCCAGGGTGGTGGACAGGCTGGGGGTGTGAGAGAAGCAGAGAGCATTGAAGGTGCGTGTGGGTGTAGTGGAAAATGGGGCTAGTGGGTCTGTTGAGGTTTGGCTGACAGGGAGGAAGTTGGGACTTTATCTAGACAGCAACAGAAAGCCAGAAGTTTTTAGAGAAGTGTGAGGTGGAAGGACAGGTCAGATCCGTGGCTTAGAAGATATGCAGTGGTGGCAAGGAAGTGAGAAACCTGTGTCCTGGAGACCAGCTCAGAGGGAGGGCCCCTGAGGTCATCCTGTATGTGACCAGATTCTGAGTGAAGGCTTCAGGCACCCCCTCACTTTGCTCAGTGTTGACACCAGCCAACTTCCCTGCTAACTTAGGCATTTTCTAGTCAGAGGAGGCAGTGGGCATTCGCACCATCTGTGTGACGTCCACTCCTGGATGTTTTACACCTGCCATTACTTTTCATCCCCCCAGTACCCTGACAGATAAGAATTATAATCCCGTTCTATAAAGAAGTGAACTCTGGCTGAGAGGTATTATTTGGGGAAGGTCATGCACCTGGCAGGTGACAGAGTGAGGCTGGTGTGACTCCAAAGTCCCTGTTCTTTCCAATGCCCTGGTCTTTCCAATACCTGGGCTTGTAAAAAGCCACAGGGCAAGAGGGAGGTCCTGGAATGCTGGATGTTCAGAACTTACAGGAACCTGCGTCTAACTTGTAATGTGACTGGAATAAAATCAGTTTCACAAATTCTTAAGATGTTTTTTCCTGAGGCATTCTTTTAATAGAAAATATCAGAAGTGGCTGAGCCTTTCCTCTCTCTCCAACACTTTTGTTTCACTCTCTGGGTGTTGGTTACTAATCTCTAAAATCACAGGACTGGTTTGACTGGTTTGGCAAGTCTCCCTTAAGGGCCCTGCTCACTTCAGCCCACCACCCACCCTATGTCGCCACTCAGACTCTGAGCACAATGAAACAGCTTTGGCAACATTTTAGAAGCTGATATCACCAGGAGCCGAGTTTCACTCTGGATGCAACTCATTGCTCGAAAGAAAGATGGGCTCTTTCTTCTCCGAGGCAGAAGCTACTGAGTAATCAGCCAACTACTGCCAACCACAGTGGAGGGAAAGGTTCCGTAAGTGCAGCATTTTCCACTCTTGGCTGCTGGGCTTGCAGTAGGTGGTGTCAGATGAGAGGCTGTCCCTTGAGAGCCATTCATACTCCAAAAGGCTCTGAACTCTTTCTAAGCTGTTTCACTCTCATGAAGAAGTCAGGCAAAGAGGCAATGACATGCTTTCTCATCTTCTCTTGACAAAGATCCACCTTGCATCCTGTTCCTCCCTTCTAAATCCACAAGCATTTCCTGCTTCAGCAGGGTGTGCTCCACAGTGAAAAGAGCAGGCAAGTCTTCCTAGGTTCAGGGGTTCCAAGGCTTTCGGAGACCTACCTCTGGGCCAGGCAGAAGCAATGGCAGAGGGCAGGCTCCAGCAGCAAGCGGGTGGCATGATCAGGGCTGGCTGGGGCTCCACGGAGTGGTACAGTTTGCAGGGCACAGATAAAGCCATACACAGAAGTCATAAAACAAAATTTATCTTTAATTTGTAAGTGTCAACAGCAGTACAAAAGATGGAGTGATGACAACTAGATTAGGGTAGAGAGGACAGTCTTGAGGTAAATGAGCATAAATAGGCAGTTCTTATAGACACTCCCCTAAGGGGCCTGAACCCCATCACGGCATATACATTATCACCCAAAGATGGCATGTTGAACATATCAGGAAAGCACCTTGTGCAAAAAGGAAAAAAAAAAAAAAAGTAGCTAAGGTGCCAACATACACCAGGATAGATAAAGACAGTGTGTCTTTCAATTTTGTCCTTTCCCTTAATTATGAGGCAGAGGAGGGGAAGACTTTGAAAAGTACCACTGAAAGATTATTCAATGTTGAGCTTTATCTCACTTCAATACTGCACAACAAAATCCGAGAAGTTTGTGTAGCAACAAAGCTAAGAACAATAATTCATTCCTGTAAATTTGAAGATTTAAAAAATTTTTCCCATTTCTTTAATCCTTTGCAAACTTTTAATTATTATTATCAAGAGGAGAGTGTGAGAAAGATGTGATGGCAACCCTTACGGTCATTTAAAAACTTTACACTGGACTGTACAAGATTTTTTTTTGATAAACTATTTACATTTTCAGACTTTCAAACATATTCAAAGCAGCAATAGACACTAGTTTTTATGGTTTTTTGTTTTTTTTTCTCTAATTGCCCAAATAGTTACCAGCCATGGGCCAAGTAGGTACCTGCATTATACATAGAATTTCTACAAAGAAAATCTGCAGTTAAAATTTGCTCCAGGGTGTGTTAAATGCCCTTAGCAATTTGAGGGCCACACCCAGTGTTGCTATAGGAACCAAAGCACAGTACCTTGACAACAGAGTTGCAGTTGTCCCAACAGCCCTACACAAACTTTACACTTTGAAACAGCAGCCAGCATGTCAGTCCAGCATGTCAGTGAATTGTGCTGATTAAATTAACATAGAATACAATCTCACAATATACATCACAAACAAATTACAACGTCGGGGGAAATAAAAGAGTTACAGTAAGATAAGTTATGTAGTAACAGCTTATAAGCTTGTCTAAGATAATAAAAATTTTACATGGCAAATACAATAATGAATGAACATAAATGCTAAGCATTCTAATTTGCTACAAGCTGGAGGAGGGTACAATAAAGACTGCACTTTCAAAAAAGCAACAACACATATGACAAAGGAAGACAAAGGGAGAATGCACATGAGCAGACCTGCAATGTGCAGCATACAAAACAGTTCAATATTTGCACATTCCCCATACTCCAAGAGCACCAGCACTGAGGCCTCACTTTATGCTTGTGGTTCTTCAGGAATAAGAAACTACTGAGCAAGATACGTCACTGAGTTGTCTTCAAGCGTTCATATTGCCACGGACACTGATTAGAAGAGTATCTGCATTAAGCATTACCTTTCTGCCCCCACCCCACCCACCCTTACCTCTGCCCCAAAGGTACCAGCATTCCAAATACTTGTTCATGAACTTTTGGAAAGCAATCTGTCCCAAAAGAAAAGATGGAATGGGGATGAAAAGGAAATGTGTTTGCATATCAATATTTTCAGTGATATTAGTGCAGGGGCACGCTCAATAGGATATGGCATCAGAAACAGAACATCATTGGCAGGAATAACAGACAGAAGTTGTTTATTCGGGAAGAAAACATGTCAGGGAGCAGATGACTTAAGGAAATGATGCAAGTGCTTTTGTGAAAGGACAAATGAGGTCATACAATATTATTATACTTTGAGAAGTGAACTTAAGTGCCAACTCAATCCTTAGACAAACGTGTACAAAACCAGGCAGGGCTACAGCAACCATTTTGGTCATTTTCTCATTAAAAGGAAGACCCAGTAATAATTTCAATACATTCCTCTAGCTGCGTTTCTTTGCAGTTGTTGGCACTTGATACGGGACTTCTCGATGATCTAAAATTACTAAGCGATTTTTTTTTTCTCTCCCTAATGAGTTGGTAGAGGTCAATTCTTTGCAAAATGAGTAAATTGAGAGAAGCAGCCTCAGCTGTGCTGTTCAAGTGACCAGGCTGCCTTCCTACTGAGGGTAAATGGGCTTCCCCGAAACAATCCCTGCTTTCAGCTAGTGCCTGTGTTCCTGGCTCAGGAGGGTGTGCTCCAGAGAAGCAGCCTGGCTTCAGAAGGAAAAGAAAGCAGCCTTTAATTTCAGCCCTAGAGTGATCACACCCTTTTCAAACACCCTGAGGCTCCCGTGGGGCTAAATGTTCAGGGGAGGCCAGAATTCGACAAGCTCAATAGCACTGTGAGCCCACACCTGAATTTAGAAGTTGGCCTGGGCATTGGTGTCAGGACCCTGGCAAATCAAATCAGGCCTGAGGACAAGGCTGGAGAGTATCAAATATCTAATGAAGCAAACTGATGTGCTCCTAAAAGACTGAGTTGGATACGTGTGAAAACAACAAAGCTTCCATACCTTCCTGGAAAAGACACTGTTTCATATCTGCCAATGAAATAGAAAAGTTGTCGGCCTGGCGGCTCACTTCCGCAAAGCGACCTTTTCTTTCTCTCTCCCTTCCTTCCTTTTTCCTGCCTTCCTTCTTTTCTCCTTTCCCTTCTATTCCATATCGCCCTTTTTTTTTTAAGGAGAGGATTGTCTGCCAGTGTTCCAATTCTAAGTAACAAGGAGAACCCCGACCCTGTGTGTTCTTTAACAAAATGGAGATACTTTTTATCTTAGATTTGAAGATACTATGGAATAGGAAGCAAAAGCAAGGTTGCTTAATATTATTGACACCAAACTGACATGGTGGAACTTTTAATAATGGCCAATCTCAGAGGTGGATTTTTGCTTTCATAATGGCATTCATGCTTCTTGCTATTAAATGGTCACAGAACTACCTTAGAAGATTTATGTGGACTCACAAAGCAAACTGTCTCCTAGCTGTAGTGGAAATTTAGTATGTCCAATCATCAACTTTCCGTAAGAAACTGGGAAATGTCTGAATCTGTGGACAGTGGGTTCTGAACTGCATGAGAACCCTGGTGAAGCCTGTCCCAGCTGCAGGCTGAACACTGCTCTCTCACTGTAACTGATAACTCACTACTGCCATGAGGCACAGTGACTCATCAACTTTCAGTTTGGACCAGCATCTACGGATAGAGAACAAAAAGGAAATACATAACTTATATCTCACTAAGAATTCATGAACCAAAAATAAATTCTATTTCTATGTTATATTTACACAATTAGAAAAATCTAAAATGAGATGGTAAAGTCATAAAAACTTTGTTTAAGCCCCACTGAAAATAAAATGAAGTGATCCCTATGATTGTCATTCTTAATTTCCATGGATATTTAGAGCCAAACTTGGCTAATAAATAAACTGCTTATACACAAAATTTAGATTCAAATACAGCATTACTGTTTGATCCAATGAAAGAGATGTTTACAATCAGATCATTCCTGAATAGCCTTTCATTTTTAAGAACATGGCTTAAAGTAACTGAACCCCAGTACTGAGGCAGAGCTGGAGCTAAAACAAAGTGTTCATACACACATGTATTTTGCATAAATAAATGAAATAACAAGACATAAAAATGACTCAAATCCGGCAACTGTGAGGCAAGCCCACACGAGTCGAAACAGATGACTTTTGTTCATGTAGTTTTCGTACAACAGTTTCACATTAGTCAGAAGTGATAAAAAATACCATTTATATCCAGTGCTTATAACACTTACGAAACAACATCTGTGAGTGTGTGTGTTTTTTTTTTTTTTTTTTTTTTACTTACTACAAGCAAAATCAAGTTTCAGTCCTAAAGAACAGTCCTTTGTTCTCCACCAGCCCAGAATATTATTTTGGCATGGTCATAAAAACAAACAAAATTAACCTACTATGCTAAATGTTTGCCTTTGTGCAAAATTAATTACATACAATACAAAACTAGCCATACAACACTCTACCAATGCAACAAAATAAGAGAAGTGAGAGAAAGCACAAGCAAAAGCCAAAGAGAAAGAGAAAAAAAACGAGAGTGAACAGAGGAGGAGAGGTATATAAATCAAAGAAATCAGTAAGACAATAATAAATATTCAGTTTTTTTTTTAGAAAAAAAGACCTCCTCCTCATTTGAAATAAATGTACAAAAACAAATTTCTAATCCCCAACCAATATGAAGAACAAAACATTCCTATCAGTACCTTAATCAGCTTATAGAGAGCACTCTCAGCTAATGGCATAGCTGGTAATTTCTTGGCTAGACCTGTTTATTGCTAGTAGGCCTTGAGCACTCAAATAAATACGAAGGTACACTATTTTCTTCCAAGTGACAAAATGGCTCAAGAAATCTGATGGGGCCATTCCTATGTCCTGGTGATCAGATTCTGGGTTGTCCCATGAGATGAACTGTCCCATTCACTGACATTCTCCCACTAAACCTCTCTGGGTGAAGCCCCCCCATAGGCAACCCGTCCTGGTTTCAGGAAGGTCAAAATGGCATGGCAGAGCTCCCTGTAGTTAGGAGATGGGGAATAAAACCTCACTGCTTCCCACCCAGCAGCATGTCTCCAAAGAAATCCTTGTGTGACAAATGCAGTTCATCCTGTTCACATGTAGGTATGTCCCCATGTGGCCACAGATAAGAGTCAGCCAGAGGAACCTATCTACTGCCCCTGGAGCTATATGTTCCCCAGAGTTAACAGTAGGAACATCCCATATAGGGAATGTATTCCCCCGCTTCTCCTCCCCTATGGTTTTCTTTCATTTTCTAGATGTATTATGATTATTTGCCACTATCTGTGCTCTGAGGCTATCACATGGCTTCTTGCATCCTGGAGATTTTGCAATGAACTCCCTGGATGTGCCAGCTGGGACAAGGCAATTCAGTGTAAAGGTGCCAGCCCAGGACAGCTTCACTGAGACTTCTGCATGGCCCACAAGCCTGGGGCTCAGGTTTGGCCGCAGGACTCTCCTGCCTGGCAGTCACCACTGTTGACCCTTGCTACCAATGGAATTCAGGGGGAAATGCCGAAGATGCAGACCCTACCACTCGTGAACCGAATTAGGGGAAAATTCTGGCAAAAACTTGAGGTCACAGTGAACCTCAGGGGCATACCTGTTTAAGTGTAAGACTATACACCTCTCTCCCAATACACAGCCCTGCAGCCAGATATATACTCATGATTAAAAACAATAATAAGTTTTTAATAGTATCTTGGTTTCAGAAATGCTTCCAGGCGTTCTGGGGGCATAAAATCACTATGTACACAAGGTAAGGAGGTGAAAAGGACTAAAAAATTATTTGGGGAAAAAGGGTGAAAAACAAGAATTATTAAATTAATGCCACCAACAATTTTTTAACAAAATAAATAGTAAGTGGACCCTTGACATTCTGGAATGAATAAATTATTTAAGAGAAGATGTGTTAAGACTGAATGTCAGGGTTAAAGGCAAAGGGATAATGGATGTAGTGAGAGGTGGTCTCAGGCAGAGAAAACCACCCTGTCGATATCTGGTGTGGCGATCGCTCTGGTGTGTGTACGTCATACCACATCATGCACTGATGGCACGTCAACAGGCAAACACAATTGGGTCCATGCACTGTGGCAACCTTGTTCATTCCTTAAAATATCTTGTCTCCAGATTCCTGAGCACTTTACCATTTTCTGGAAAAAAAAAAGTTGGTTTTCTCTTTTATTTTAAGATGCCAAAGATTGTCTAAGACTTTGCAGTGTCTCTTTTAAGACTTTAAAAATATTAAGATCCAAAAGTTAAGAAAAAGTTTGGCACATTCAAAGTTTAACTCTACACATGGAAAACTGGAATTCTGAGGCCTTTTGAATATGCTCTACATGCAGCTGCACACGCCGTGGACTTGTTCTGTTTCACAATATGAAATCCTCAGTTGTTTTCTAAGATAATTCAGAATAAAAACACATTCACAACCTGTAGGCCGGCACAGCATACCTGAGTGAGAATGTTTAACCCCATCTAAAACAGTAACTTAAACCTTTATCAACATCCAAAAGAAAAAAAAAGTAAGACAAAAATATAAGACTTGTAAGACATCTATGGGATGAGATAAGTTTTCAAGTCCTGGTGTCTCATATTTAATATGTCTTCACCTAAATTAAAACAACAACAACAACAACAACAATAACAATAAAGACAAAAAACTCAAGTTCATGAAAAATCAGGGAAAACTTAATCTGTCTCACACTTTACGAAACAATTAAGACCATTCTGCTGATGTAATTGTGGAGCCACAAATGCATGCGGGCTCTTTAAGAACTTTTTCTTGGGGTGGGGGGTGAAATGTCAGAGTACTTTAATTCAGCGAACAAAAACTCCTCAGTTGGCACTGACAGCCTCCGGGGCTTCATTTTCACTGCTATAGTCTGATTTGGGGTCATCTTCATAGTCATCATACATTTCCATTTCATCCTCTCCATTAATCATTTCATTTCCAGCTAGGCTTCCGGCATCTGTCTTCATACCATAAGTGCTCTGGATGACCGGGAGGCTGGGCTCCGGGCTGGCCGAGGTGCTAGAGCAGTCAGATGTCATCTGAGGTGATGGTGTGGTAGTTGCCATCGTGATAGCACCAGGATACACCACACCTGTTCCTGTGGTGATTGGAATCTGAGGCTGTTGCCTATATAGATTCAAAAAACAAAATAAGACAAGGGAGAAATATCTATATATGTGCTCTGTACAGAATTGGAATACACCCCTTACACTTTGGAAAGTATAAGGGGTGTATTCCAATTCCTAAATAAATGTTTAATAACATTCTAAGCAAACACAAAGGTGTTCCCTGGAGGAGTCCTGCAAATCTCCTTGATGGCTATGGTCAGGAGTTAAAGAAGATAATAGAGCAATTTACTGACGATTTTGCAACATAAAGGCAGGGTTCTTTTAACTTGGTAAATATGGCAAAGCTTGGATAACACCTAGCATTAGGAACAAATGATATAGTGAATTCCGCAAAATTGCATGTAAGATAATTTTTGAAAATCTCCCAGCACATTTTGAAAATCAAACTAGTGGCATGAAACATATTATAGCAACACTATTAAGCAAGTTTGTGCCTTCACCTTGGTTTGAGAACTCGATAAATCATGATGACAAGGGACCTAGTATGTCCCAAAGAGTGAGATTTAGCAAAGCATGTATTTGTTATTCATGTAAATGTCTACATATTTTCATGGCTGAACTTGTTAGGAAGAATCCCTGTGGAAGGATCATCTTGGATGTCATTACTGCTGAGGCCCTGGGCTGGAACTGGGGCTGGGATTAACAGAGCCAGGAGTAAAGAGCAACTCAACAGAGTAGAGTTGCTGAGTAGACACCAGACACGGGGCCTCACCCTAGATCCCAGAGGGTGCCAAGTCTGGACACCAGTTCATTCCTCTATAATGTTACCATAGTTTAAATAAACTTAATAGACCCTTTGTGAAGGTCACTCTCTTCCTCTGCAGGGAGACATGACTACTGTCTCTCAACTTCATTTGAGGCTTTATAACTGGTACACAGGAATAAAAGATCTACCTAACCCAGAGGCTATGACTAAAATAGTATTTTAAATTACAGTTGACATTTGTTTTAAAATGTCATTGTAACTATCCTTTCAGAGCCTCAGTTTCCATATGTTTATCAAAGCCAGGGTCAGGGAAGTTCTGGAAGGTCCTTCCACTTTTGTACTCAAGGCTTTTCAGGTCAATCATCACTTGGACAATTCTTACTGACCCTACACATTACCACTGAAACTTTCTATCCCTCTCATTCAAACAGGAAAATACCCAGAATCCATGAAGAAGTAGCTTAGTTAACTGCCATTCTTTGACATGTCCAGAAGGAACATAATTTTCTCACAAAGACCTGCATGCCCTCCAGCCTGGCAGAGGGAGAAGGGATGGAGGTGGTTTAAAAACACTGTGTGAGATACTTGTTCACGCTGTCTTTAGCAACCTCTTTCAATCACCACAAGGCATATCATATCCCTAACATAACGTATAAAATATTATCAGATATATCACCTTACCCAACTAACATTATGACCCCATAAGTTATTTTTTCCATTTTCGGATGAAGAAAATCAGATGTTGCTTCAAGCCCTGCATTCAATAACCAGCAGAGCAGGAATGTGAATCTAAGCTATCAGCTGACTTGAATCCCGTCACTCTTTCCTTTATAGATACTCAATCTGCAGATATACTAAGCTCACTATATATCATAAAAATACCTGACTTCTGTAGAGTCTGTCAGCACCTAGTTGACACTAAGCACCTGACATTGATGCAGTTTTTATGATTCTCATGGTGAGTTTTTTGGTTGCCTGAAGGAAGCAGATAATAGCGCAATCTAAATCTATGTATAGAAACATCATATAATATATTAGTTTCCCTCTTACTGAATCAAATTTTAAAACAGTATACTTCTGGCTTCATAAGTTTTGGGCAAATTAACACAAATTAAATTTTATGCTAACCTTCCCAAGGTATTGAATGCCTCATTAATTTTTTTTTTTTTTTTTTTTTTGAGACAGTCTTGCTGTGTCACCCAGGTTGGAGTGCAGTGGTGTGATCTCTTCTCACTGTACCCGCCACTTCCCAGGTTCAAGCAATTCTCCTGTCTCCTCCCAAATAGCTGGGACTACAGGCACATGCCACCACTCCTGGCTAATTTTTTGTATTTTTAGTAGAGACAGGGTTTCACCATATTGGTCATGCTGGTCTCGAACTCCTGACCTCAGGTGATCCACCTACCTCAGCGTCCCAAAATACTGAGATTACAGGCATGAGCCACCTCACCTCACCGCCTCATTAACTTTTTTACTGAATTTGGATAACTGCAATAAAATATTTTTTGCCTTAATACACTATGAGTGTCGAGTGAAAGCTTTTACTGCAATGTTAACCCATTTTACAGATTTCTCATATTGGCAAGCTGATCTATAATACAAACTGCATAAAAACAAACTATCAAATGATATGTTTTCTTTTCACAAAGAATAGATGTTAAATTTTTGCAGTATTTTAATCATAATATCTACATGTATAGGTATATTGATTAAATTTAAATTGAGCTCCTATTATGTACTGGGAACTATATTTAGATGTCTTTACATTATCTTCTTGAATCCTCATAATAAGTCTGAGAGGTAGGTATCATTTTCCCTCTTTTACACATGAAGTGACCAATTAAGTTTCAGAAAATTCAAGCTGTTTGTTCAAGGACACGCAAGTACCATAATCAGGAGATGAACTTTCCCTGTGTCACAAATTCTCTACTACAATTCAAGATCAGGGCGAGAAAGGCAAGTTCACACTATCAGAAAAATACTTAGCAATTTAAATCAGAATCTAAATCTTCTACACTGGGCTCCACATAGTTCAGGGTATTTGGACTTTAAGCTGGTAATGGAATGCTAAAAATAAATAAGCAAATAAAACATCTGTACAATTTGCTTTCTAGAGTGAGAGTGAGACACATGATATTCAAAAGCCTAGTCTTCACTGATGGAGAGATAGATATAGCTGTTTTAAGCCCTCAGACAGTGCTAAAGACCAGTGAGGGTTAAAACCCAGGGGTTACTCCCCACCTTGAGGAAATGAAGGGAGTTCAGCTCTGCTAAGGGTCTCACATTCACATATAATTGTTCAAGGTACATAAATGCTAGAGTGAGAACTTATCTCTGTGAGAGATGATTTCTGCCTCACCAACCATTCTGGGAAGAAGGTTATGTGGTATGGTGCAAAGGCCTCAGGTTCTGGAGTCAGACTGGCTTGGGTTCAAATCGCACCTGCCTCAGTTACTGGCTGTGTGATCTTGAGCAGGCTAATTCTTTTCATCAATATTGCCTCTCCTTGTGTTTAAATTAGAACAATCACACTTGACAGGACTATGAAGGAGATTAAGTAAAAATATATGCAAAGCATTACGTTATAGAGTTGACAACCCAATGTTAATTCCCTCTCCTTTCCTCCTTTGGGAAGCTGGTGCAACCTCACAGAGCATAAGCATGTCCTAGGTCTTGTGGGTGAGTGCACCAAGGAAATGACAAGGTAATGGTCTGGACTTTCTGTGAGTGCCAGCCCACAGGAGCCATTTGGAATCGGCAATTAATGACACATGGTAAAACAATACTCTGGTTCACAAGCCTGGCCAAGAGAGGACTTCCTCTTTACCATATAACTGTAAAGAAGGGTATAACTTTTTGCATCTGAGATGGGAAAATGTTGACATCTTCTAAGAAATGTTTAAAAAGGAAAAAGTCCCCAAAGAGTAACATTTGGTTCTGCATAAACCTTTTTCTAATCATAACTCCCTCCTTTCTCTAATGCCCGAAATATTTCCATTATACCCTCTGGAACCCAACTGTTTCACCTTCTTGCTCTAACTGAAACTTGGCTCTCTCTCTCGGCCACAGGTCTCCCTAAGGCCCTCATAAGACTTGGCTATTTGCTTTCCATGCCCCCCACACGAATGGGCCTGGAGGTGAGGTAGCTCCCTTCTCAGCTCCTCATTGCCTCTTTCGACCTTCCTTTTAATCCTTCAATCCTAAAAATCTCATCTTTGAATCTCATGTCACCAGACTATGTCACCTACTCATACCTTTATCTACCCACTGCCTGATCATTCCCCCTCATGCCTTAAAGATGTTAGCTCCTGGCTCACTGTTGCCGTCTTATAAACATTACCTCTGCCATGATTTTTGATGACTTTGCTGTCTCTGTAGATGTTCATTCCAACACCTGGCTATCTCAGTGTGACCTCCCTTCCACTGTGATAATCTGACCCCTTCCCTATCTTAGTTACTCCCTCTCTTGTCATACAGTGGACCTTGTCATTTTCATCTGTCACTCCTCCCTAATCTCAATTTTAAATATCCCACTCTCTGACCACCACATCTTACTTTTCTGGTTTTCTCCCTCTAGTAACCAGTTTATGATTTCACCCCCTACCCCATCTAAGGAGCTACAGTTTCCTGATCCTTCAACCCACCTTCACTGCCCTGACATACATAGCAAAACGCAAACTTTAGTTCAGCCTAACTCTCTGCCCGCTCTGTTTCGCCACACAGTAGAACTTAGCTGAAGAAAATACACTGCCATACTTACTGGTCTCTAAATTTACAATTCTGTACTTCAAATAGGCCTCTGGTGCTGTTCAGCAATCATGTCAAGCATTTTCCTATCCCATTCCTTCTTTTAGTCTCCTAGACAATTATTTCCTACCTTCTTAACTTTCCTCAAATATTCAACTTCTTCTCCCCCTTTCTCACTCCAAGTTAATGGCCTGGCTTTCCATTTCATGGAGAAATTAGAAGCAATCACAAGAAACTTTTCACAAACTCCCACCGTCACATTGACCGACCTCCCTGTATCTGTGCCCCATTCTCTGCCTGCCTTCCTATATTTTGAATCAGTCCATAATCCAAAATAAAACTAACTCCTCTGCTTGTGCACTGAAACTTTCTGTTAGTTTTTTACTAAAGATATCTCTCCAGCAATTGTCTCTCCCATCTGAATCATTAATTTTGTATAGCATCCCACCAAACATGCTATAATCACTTGGACCATAAAAAACAAAATCAAAACCTCTCTCCTGGCTCATGTCCCCCTCCAGCTCTTGCTCCATTTCTTTGATCCT